ATTTACGAGCTTTACACTCGGTGTTCCATATGAGTCTCCTAAAAAAAGACACCGGTTCATCTGAATGCCGACCGGAAAAGGCCCCTCCACCTCCTATATTGCTCGAAGGGGAGGAACATTTTGAAATTGCGGATATTTTGGACTGTAAAGTAAAACGGGGAAAACGTTGGTATCTCATTGAGTGGGTGGTCCTAATCATCTTGGTTGCCCATACTTACTTATGGGATTTCAATCCCACCCTCCCCCACAAGCAGGCTCAGGGCAGGTTACCATAAGCCAATAAAACAGGAAAAACAATTTCCATATAATTCCAGTTAAAAATTAAAACCCAGCTAATTTCTCCATGATGGTGAGACTGGTAATTCAACAAACCCCAGGGATATGTTGTATGTATATCCAGGGAGGGCCAGTTGTCAGCGAGCTGCCATTATGTGTTCTGGTTCCCTGAGTGTATTCCCTTCCCCCCGTGCCCTTCTCTGTTGTATCTTTCACATTCTTGTATTGTAGGTGCCTGGAACAGCTCAAGGTTATCCAGCTGGTGTGGGGAAAGTGAAACTCTGTTATCTGCTTGCTCGTTAGTAGTGTCTTTCGCCTGTGAACTAAGGGTCTGTTTTGAGAACGGCAAACCGTTACATTCCCATGTAATTACCTGTCAGTGTCTTCTTTATTCGCGCCGGCGGGAAAGGGATCTATTGGTTCTAACTTAGTTCAAAGTTCCTTTATTATGTTACCCTCTGGGGCATGAGCCCATTCCTAACAATTCTCTTGTTCCTGCTTCTTTCAAACGCTTTGGAATAAATTTTGCTTTAACCTTTAAACGTGGATTTATTTTGGAGTCATTGGAGATTCAACACCAGTGTACTTCCTGAACAGATTTGAACAGAACAACTAAATGGCTGTAGCTAAAGTGCATACTCAAGTGACAGGCAGCATGGTATAGCAGTTATGGTTTTGGAGTTGGGCTGTAAGGTTGTCAGCTCCGGGTTGGGAAATTCCCAGAGATTTTTTTTGGGGGGGGGAGTCTGGGAAAGCAGGGTAAAATGCCATAGAGTCCACCCTCCAAAGCAGCCATTTTCTTCTGGGAAACTGTCCTGTGTTTTTTGGTGATCAGTTGTAGTTCAAGGAGATCTTCAGGCCCTACCTGAAGGTTGGCATTCCTAAATAGGAGGAACCCAGATTCAAATTTCTACTCAACCATGAAGTTTGTCAGGTCTTCTCTATGAGGACATCTTAGCCTAACCTACTTCACAGGGTTGTTGTGGGGATAAATAGTTATCTCTCCTAACAAAATGGGTGTTAGAGAGCAGCTGACAACTGGTTTTCTTGTACCTTTAACAGTTTTATCAGCAAAGATTCAGCACATAAAACTTTTCAAGGCACAGAAAATATTCACTTGCTAAATTTTCTCCTCCTTTGCCTTGCACCTATTAAAGATACAGAAGTCTCCCCCGGAACCCCAAACACATACAATCCTTGGTAGATATTTTCCCCACACTTTGCAAGTAAGAATTCTAATCCAGATTAGTCAGGACGTCGATGACAGAGAACAGGAAGATAAAATGTTGCCTACGGTTACCATTATTTCTAGTATACTTCCTGCTTCTGTAACATTTGCACGCCAAGCAAAAAAAACTCAATAGCTGGAACTTTTCGCAGCTCTCCAAGGCCAAGGATCCGCCTGTTCCCGAGCCCTACGGGGCGGGCGGGGACAGTTTTTGAGCGCGTCTACGTGACTTCAGTTGCTTGTCTGACTAAACTTTTGCTTCTTTTTAAAGTTACTTCAGCCTGGGCGGCAACTCTCTTCCCCCCCCCCCCCCCCAGCTGCTAGCGAAGGGGAAACTCCTGTATTGACACAAAATGGCTTATTCAGGAGGAGCGAGTCACTCCAAGGGAAGTAGGGGAAAGAGGAGAGTCCAGCGCCTTATTCCGTAGCGTTTCACTTTCATAACGCAGCTCTCAGCCTCGTCTGGACCGAAAGGCGTGTTTCTGAAAGGGAGCGGGTATCACCCTCCTTCTTCTCCTTCCTCCGGAGGAGACGAGGTCACACGAGAGAGAGCCAGACCCAGCGCAGGAGCAAGCAAATATGGGAGGCGTGCGGGGGGCTCGCGGGGCCACGCTCAGCCCGTGGGGGCTGCTGCTGCTACCGCTGCTGCTGAGGAACGCGATGCACGGCCTCGTTAGCTCAGCCCCGGCCCCAGCGAGTCCCGAGGTGCCCTTCGGAGCCGGTGAGTCTGGCATCCCTCGCTGTGTGAATCACGCAGGCCCGACAGTTCGAGGTGCCAAGGAGTCTGTTGCCAAGATGTAGTGGCAGGAGGAGACGTCCCTCTTCCCGCCAAAACGTAGGTCGAGGGGCCGCGCCGCTCGGAAAAGGGACGCCAGGACGGCGTTCCGCGGGGGGGGGGGGGGTTGGACCCGTCAGAAAGTGGAGATTCTCCTGAGTTGGAGAGCTGCGCACAAAAGAAGCAGCAAGGCGGGAGCTCCAGCCAGCCAGCCAGTCAGACTCAGGCATCTCCCCCCCCCCAACCCCCGCCCAGCCCCTCTCATAGCAACGGTGCTGCCCTTGCTCGCATTTGATCTTTCCATAGAAACGTTGCGTTTTCTGGCCTCGCTGTCTAGTGTGTTTGCGAGAGTGTTACAGCCCGCCAGTTGAGGACATGTCTAGATTAGCAGTGTAGGGATTCGATGAGGTGGGCTGCCTGCAAACGACAGAAGTTTGCAGCGCAATCTGTTGGTCTGTGTAGGGTGACACAAAGGCTTGGCTGTTCCGGCTGCATAATTGGCGTTGCGTGTGTAGAATAAAGTTTGAGTCCAGTGGCACCTTTAAGTCCAACAAAGTTTAATTCAGGGTAAGCTTCCGCATGCGAGCATACTTCTTCAGATGTGTGAAAGTTTGGCATAACAATCGCACTTGAAAGTTGCTCATGGCTCTCCTTAGTTTGTAGTTTGTAATTTCCCTCTAATGTTCCCTCTAAGCTGTGGAGTCTTGTGAGCAAAAGTTCTACTTTGCGAGCTACTGGCATTAAAGTTGTGAGCCAGTGATTTGACTACTGCATAAATTAGTTTGCTCTGGAGCCATCCTTCCTGAACTAAGAAAAAAATGTGTGAGCCGGAAGCTAAAAAGCGGTGAGCTAGCTCACACTAACTCAGCTTACATTACATTACATTACAGTATCAGACATTACATTACAGTATCAGACTAGAAATGGGGGGAGAAGAGTTTAAGCTCCCTCTATTGCCACAAAGCTCCTCAGCGTATGAGTTGGGAAATTCCTGGAGATTTGGAGGTTAGTAGCCCTGTCACTGGGTGAGTTTGAGGTAGCTATGTTCTCTTAGCCTAACTCACCCCACAGGGGTGTTGTGAGGGTAAAACGGATGAGGGAGCCTAAGAGCCTTTGCAGGAAGAGTAGGATAAAATATGTAGGGTTAAAATCAATGTGCAGAGACAGAGAACAGGCCTGAGCAGGGTGTGAAGAAAGGCATTTTTTCCTTTGGAGGTATGAAATAAGCAAAACCTTCACTCTGAGTCTTAAAAGTCCCCCCCCCCCCCTCTCTGGACAGAGAACAGACAGGAAGGGGGAAAGTCAGTTCAGTTGCTTTTCAGACTTACCTCAGACCACCTTCATACAAATGCTTATAGGTCTAGACCAGAGGTGTCAAACTCATTTGTTACGAGGGCCAGATCGGACATAAATGTCACTTTGTCAGGCTGGGCCATGTGTGCCATAAAATGTAACATGTGGTACCGGAGATATAAACTTTATAAAGATCGTTTCAGATGCCGAATGGCAATAGTAGGCATGATTGGATTAGGTGTGATATGCATATGGATGGAGATATCAGCATTAGTGTGATATGCAGAGGTGTGGAGATATCAGCATTGGTAATGAGACAGGAAACCTAGGTCTCGGTTTGGTACAGGAGGATTCAGTACAGGAGGAAATGGAAATAAGTCTGAAGAAGTGAGCAGTGACTCACCAAAGCACACACCCTATCACAATTTTGTTAGTCTTTAAAGGTGCTACTGGACTCTTTCTACTACTGTTAGAAATCACCACATTAAAAAACCAGTGAGGGAACATTTTAACCTTCCAGGGCATTCAGTTGCTGACCTAAGAGTAGCAATTCTCTTACAAAGGAATTTCAAAGGGAGATTCGAAAGAGAGACTGGAGAATTGCAGCTGATAATGGAGCTCAAGACAATGCAAACTCCTGGACTGAATTGAGACCTAGGTTTCTTCTCTCATTACCAATGCCTGCTATTGTCATTTGGCATTTGAAATCACTTCATTCTCCAAGATATAAGGACAGATGGACTCACATTCCAGCTGTATCTGAAGAAGTGAGCAGTGATTCATGAATGCTCATGCCCTGTCACAAATTTTGTTAGTCATTAAGGTGCTGCTGTACTCTTGCTTTCTTTCACTAATAAGGAATGCAAGTTGTGCTGTTAGGGCCCCCCCATCTGTTAGAAATAAAAAGGGGGATCTCTCCAAGTGCCTTGGGACTCCCTCCCTCCTCTCTTTGGTGTGCTCTCTCTGGGTCTTTCCCTCCCCCTCCCTCCCCCTCTCTCTGAAGGGAGAAGAAAACATTTTTGGTCTTAAACACAGGTCTCTCTCTCATACCTGGAATAAAACGTTTTTGGACTTAAACACACTCACTCTCTCTCACTCTCTCTCTCACACACTCTCTCTCTCTCTCTCTCTCTCTCTCTCACACACACACACACACACACACACACACACACACAGAGACCTGGAATAAAACATTTTTGGTCTTAAACACAGGACTCTCTCTCTTTCTGGCATGCTCCCTCTGGCTATTTCTGTCTCCCTGTGTCTCTGAAGAAGAAAAAGTGTGCTTGCACACAAAAGATTATATCTAGAATAAAATATTGCTGGTCTTCTTAAAAGTTCCACAAGATGCCATCCCCCCCCCGGCTCTTTTCCTTCCCCCTCCCTCCCCAGAGGAGGAGGGGAGGAGCCCTCAACCAATTGAAGGAAGGTTTTCGTTCTCTCCTCTGAAGCAGGAAATAGGAGAGACTGGGGAAAAGGAGCTGCAATGTTAGAAGCAGGAAGCAGCACAGAGTCAGTTGCTCTTGGGACGGATTCAAGGCTTACAGGGACTGGATCTGGCCCACAGGCCATATGTTTGACACCCCCAGTCTAGACAATGGGAGGGTCAAGCTTCCCCCCCCCTGCTTTAAGCAGGGAACAGAGACCTGTTAAATACTAGACTTAAAGACTTCAGGAAGAAAATTCTGGGGACTTCAGGGAAAACTTCTCTGACCTTACCTGGTCAGTGGGTGGGGAAAAGAGAGGTGATAAAACTCAGGGGAGCAAGGAGGAAGCTCTTTTTGTTATAGAGTCCATCAGAGCAGACAGAATTCTTAGCTGAGGTCTGGAGGAGGCAGCCATTAGTCATGCGGTGGCCTAAAGAGCTGGAGAAAGCTGCAAGGTAATGGTACCTCTGTAGAGATCTGTAACTTCCTAAGCTAAGGAGTGTGTCCTATATTTTAACATCTGATTGGGCATGTATAGAGACAGGGACAGAGGAATTCGGTTTTAGCCAGTTCTTTTGAATCCCTTGCTCAGTCTGATGCTGTGCTAAATGTATTTTGTGAACATTTTATTTTTAATAAATACTTTATAACTTTTGATGCTGTTAGTAGTTCTCTGTACCACATAGACCTCCACCATCTTGGACACATTATTTCAAAAGGAGCACCAGGGAAACACTGTCATTTGAAAAGTGGCTAGTCCTCCAGGGGCGCACAAGGCAGTAAACAGTCCCCGTGGTGACCAGGCACGGGGCAGTGGGAGACACAGAGGCAAGGCCTCACAACTGGGAAGGGAAGCTGGGAGTCCTGACCCTCCCACCAGGCAGGTGGTGGTGGTAGGTTATGGGAGAGAGAGAAAAGCCTCTCCAGTGTTGGGAAAACCTTGGAGGGCAGGGTGGAACAGGGCCTGCAGGCCAAAGCAGGCCTATTCCTTCATCTATAGGAAACTGCAGTTTTGTGATGTAGGGTTGCCAACTGCCTGGGGGAAATTGTCCTGTCCCTTTAAGAGAGGGTTAATTTGGGCTCTAGGCCATGAAAACCTTTAGCTGCCTATTTCAGCAAATCAAGCCTCTATTTAAGGGATAGGACATTTTTCTCCAGGCTTCTTGACAACCTTTCTTGGGAGCACAGAATCTGCATTTGTATGAAGTGTGCATGTGTAGACTCTGTCCTTGTGTTTGGGAATGCTATTTTTTCAAGCCATGTACACCTAACTGTGAAATTGTGTACAATCTATGTATAGTATACACTTGATTTTTTAATATATAAATTGAGTTTTTCTTATGTTTTTCTGCATGTACAGATGAACATGCAGTTTAAACCACACATTTGTCCAGGTTATGATCCCCAGTTATTATAAAAGTAAATATGCATTGGATGTTTCCATATTTGCATGCAAACATGCAAGATGTATGTGCATTCTGTGTACTGTGTGCCATGGCTTGAACACTCCCAGGAATGGAGATGGAGCTTGCATGCACTTTCTACATGCACAGAGTCTGTGCTCACATGCTGATGATCACACATGGACAGGGTGCCATCTGCCTGCTTTTTCTCTTTGCACAATGCTTTCATCATGTATAATGTCATCAGGCCCACTATCATAGACTCACTTGAAGAAGAATGATTTTCCATATCTGATTATGACCTGCTTACACTTATTGTAAGTTCTATAATAATATAGAGTATCTAACTACGATCTGGGAGACCCAGGTTCAAATCCCCACTCTGCCATGGAAGCTCACTAGGAGACCTTGGGCCACTCGTTACATAAGAACATAAGAATATAAGAGAAGCCAATGTTGGATCAGGCCAATAGCCCATCTAGTCCAACACTCTGTCACACAGTGGCCAAAAATACCAGGTGCCATCAGTGGGGCCAGGACACTAGAAGCCCTCCCACTGTTGCCCCCCCCAAGCACCAAACAGGGCATCACCTGCCCCAGCCTGTCAGTTCCTATCTCTACTTTGTGGCAAATAGCCCCTGATGGACCTCTGCTCCATATGTTCATCCAATTCCCTCTTGAAGCTGTCCATATGACACAGGTGTTTTTTTGCTTGTTTTGTTTCTATGGGCAGCTCTGAAAGTTTTTCAAGGCTGCTAGAAGTAGCCATAAGTATCCTGGACATGAATGTTTCTTTATAACCCTTCCTTTTGGGTGACTTACATCATTACATTAAAACTGTGTATCAGATCTCCCCTTCAGATATATGCGGCCCATTCTCATCTTCATTGTTAGTATAGTCTTGGGGGCCAACAATTGTCCAACAGTTCTGTAACTCTATTAGTCTAAGTCCTGTAGTAGCTCTTGCTGCCTGGGGTCAATGGTATGAATACAGTGTAACACAAAGCAAGAAAGTCCTCTGACATTAAAATAGGTGAGGGGATATCTTTTAATAATATTGGACTTTACTGTTCAATGTATGCTTGTAAGTCCAAATAATTGCAAAATAACCAATTTCTCTCTCTCCATATTTCCTTTCTTCATGTCATTCTGAAATAGTTTTACAATCCCCAGCTGTTTCCTTCTTTCCCAACAGGCTTAGTGACTTATTGCTTTCTTTTATTTTCAAAACAAATGTTCTGCAATCTGCAATGATAAGGTAGTATAATGATTCATAGTGTAGGAAGTATACCTTCTCCCAGACATTTCAGAGAAAAAAATAGGGACATGTTTGTAACACCCCAAACAAGGTCACTGTCTGACTCTGCCTACTGTTACATATTCCTGGAGGCTCTACTCTGCCTTCTTTATGTTGTGATCATTTACTCAACACTTGCCCAATTTAAAAGCTGGGGAAGGTGGGGTACTGGGCAAAAGAGATATTAGGAAGAAAAGCGGAGTTGCCATGATAGTATATTGCTGCAAAAATAAGCAGGAATCTATTCAAATCACAATTTTATTCCAACATAAGATTTTTGTGGACTAGAATTTAGTTCTTTAGAGGCAATGCCATGGCTTTCACTAGGATCTCTTTTATGTAGAAGATATGGAAAAGTAACAGGGTCAAAAAGCCATAAAATACTGAAAGTACAGGGTGACATGTAATTATGTGAAATGAACACCGTTTGGATAATAAGATTTGCAATATTCAGAGACACCTTTGTAAAAGCATTTAAGTCTTCCTGGATATTCTATTGCTGATCTAAAAGCCACCACTCTTCTTCAGAATACCTTCAAAAGGGAAAATCTACATGAAGTGCTAAAGTAGAATTTATAAGTACAAAACCTCCCCCCCTTTGTGTTTCATGGAAGTTGAAACTGAAGGGCTTTTCAAAAGCAGTTTGTGATACAGCATCCCACTGGTATAAACAGGGTTTTGGGTGCTTAAAAGATAGCTTTTTTGGCGGGGGTGGTGGTATGCCAGCCAGTTTTCATTCTAAAGCTGGTCTATAGCTAAAATGCTTTAGGCTTTCCCCCCTTCTGATCTTTGAGGAAAAACAAAAACAGGAGTCTCTTTGCATTTTGCAAGGGGTGCCTGTTTTACTTTCATATTAAAGTGGGTTTACCATTATTACACATAATAAGTGGTGGTGGAAAGTGCCATTAAGTCACAGCTGATCTGTGGTGACCCCATAGGGTTTTTTCAAGGCAAGAGTTGTTCAGAGGTGGTTTGCCATTTCCTGCCTCCACGTCATGACCCTGGTATTCCTTGGAGGTCTCCCATCCAAATACTAGCCGGGGCTGACCCTGCTTAGCTTCCAAGATCTGACGAGATCAAGCTATCCTGGGCTACCCAGGTCAGAACACGTAATAGGTACTGCTTTATATCCCCTGTTGACATCCCACAATTTCATGTTTACACAAATGCAGGAGTACATTTCGGATGGGTAGCATCCAGTGTTGCCTGTGAATGGGAGTCACCACTCACCCTTTAATTTTTTTCAAGGTAGTGAGACATGTACCAATGAATCTCTGAAAAACTTCTCCACATGACATAGCAAACCCTATGAAGCAACACCCATTGCTTTTTTTCTTCATACAGGACTTTCACCACTCTCCATACTCCTCTTTTGCAGCCTGGATGGTGACCTGACAGTGCTCTCTTTGACCTGTTTCTGGTAACATTCATAAATCCCCCACACTGCCACTGCCCACCATCGCCATCTTTCTTAAGAGTCACAAAGAATATTATCTTCATAACAGTGCAAATGCTCACATTTGCCCCTTCCATCACCTCCCTCCTCTCTTTCACCCACGCACCTGTTGGCTGATACTGAAGTCTCTGCATTAGAAGGACATGGGAGGAGTTGGGGGAGGATTCTAAAGGTACTGGCTAGAAGAAAACACCTCCAGTGCTTACAGGATCGTTATCTCCTGTTTCTTTAGCTTAAGTAGCAGTCAGTGTGGCCAAGTGGAAGTGTTTACTTGAAAGTGTGTGGCAATAATCTACAGTTTAAAAAAGAAAATTAAACAGCCTATTTTTAAATAGTGGAGTTAGGAGGAGATTTGTACAGGTATTGCTAAGATAAAAGCCATGGAGAGGTAAAAAGGGATAAGCTGGCTAGGGCCGTCAATAAACCTCTCCTGCTGGTTGGAGCATAAAATAGAGCTACAGTAGTCCACACTAGTTATATTGTGCTGCTATTGTGCTAGATACTAAATAAAGCATGACCAGGTCTGTCAAAAACAAAAAGGATTACAGTGAGGAAAATATGGGAAAGCAACTGCTTAGGCCGTATGTTATCAGAATGGTGAAGGACAGCTATCTATTAGTGAATATCTCCTGCTCAAAAATTTCAAAGTAAATCCAGGCAGTTAAGATAATTTAAGCTTTCAGCTGAGCTTTTTATTTAATACTTGAACATTTTGACCTCATGCTTGCCAAAAACAAGGTTTCTGGCCCAATGAATACATTCTAGGTAAGTCAGAGGTGATGATCAGTGACCCCTAATGTGAATGTTAGAACTACTCAAAAGAATCAACATTTTGCTTGGAAAATACACATTAAATTCACAATTTATCATTTTCTGAAAACAGGTCAGTTTTGGCACATCACTGATTTACATTTGGATCCCACCTACCACATTACAATAAATCGCACTCAGGTTTGTGCCTCTTCCAAAGGGGTGAATGCCTCCAGCCCTGGCCTGTTTGGAGATTTTATGTGTGATTCCCCATATAAACTTATCTTGTCAGCTTTGAAGTTCATGAAGGATTCTGGTCAACAGGCATCCTTTATGATATGGACAGGGTAAGTAAGTCAGTATGCCAAGCTAATATTTATGGGCTTCTGTTCTTAGGAAAGCTTTGCAAAACTGATACATTTGTTGTATGTCCTTTATGACTGTGTTGGAGCTCTGATACGTAGGAGATGCACTGAATCATAAATGTTATCTGAATGGTAGTTGTCACGATTTATGAGCATAGAGCAGGGGTCACTGGGGAATAGTAGGGTAGAGATAGCTGTGAATCCCCACATTGTGCAGGGGGTTAGACTAGATGACCCTTAGGATCTCTTCCAGCTTTATGTTTCTAAATTATAAATGAAGAAGGTATTTCTGCCCAACTTTTTAGCAGAGACTGCCATGAAATCATTAGGTGTTTCCTCCCCTACGGAATAGATAGACAAGGACCTGGGCTTGTATGGTATCGTGGGGTGGATAAGGACTAGAAACTCAAATCAGATCCCTCGTGTTGGATTTAGCATGAGAAAAGTGCAGTTGGGCCAAGAGAAACCGCTACCCCCCATTGTAGTCTCCTTGCTGTTAGAACTGCTCCTCCATGCTTTTTTTTTATTAGGATGAGTTCTTTAAAAGGAAGCTGTATATTATGCTTTTTTGTTACCTGCCTTGAGTAGTGGCTTTGCCAGAAGAAAGGCAGGCATAAAAATATGATGACTACTAATGTAAATACTACAGCAGCATCTGTCTTATGCAGTGACCTCCCAGAACGTTTCAGGAAAGCACCTATTCTTAACAGGGTTGGGGGGAGAGAGAGAGAGAGAGACTCTGTAAGGTGGAGATATTTAGCAAAGATTCTGAGGGTAGCTGGAGGCAATGGTTTCTGATTTAATCTGGACTGTTCTGCTTTTAGGGAGAAGGTTTTTTTTAAATGCTACTTTCTATTCCTTTACAAATCCGGCAAGAAGGGAAGAATGAAAGGGCTGGTAATGTTACTTTCTGTGGGCTAGATGGCAAAGATCTGGGGCATGGAGAGAGGACTGAAAGCTGCTTATCGTGAAACCCAGCTTTCTTTCAAAGGGCCTGCTGTTCCTTTTAATGGCATGGACAGCCATAAGAGAATCTATAAAATTCATGAAACGTTTAACGTTTCATTTTTAAAATCTATTTTATTGTAATAACTGATCACTATCAATTGGCTGAGGTACTGAAATTGTATTTCATGTATTACTGAAACAGTTGTACAGCTAATTTTGTGGCACAGAATGGGTTATTTTGGTTTTCTTTCCTTTTTTTTAAAGAGACAGCCCCCCTCATGTTCCAGCTAAAGAACTCTCCACAAAAGTGGTCATTGATATTATTGGTAACATGACTTCTACCATAAGAAGTTTCTTTCCAGAACTTCAAGTTTTCCCAGCATTGGGAAATCATGACTACTGGCCACAGGTAAGATTCAATTTTCAAGAGCGTAAACAGCATGACAGTTGCATTTTATGCTTCCTTACTCTACTGAGTTCATTGGGACTTATTTCCAAGTAAGCTTGCATAGGACTGTAGCTTGAGTCTTTAGTAGTTTGATGTGCTAAGTATAGTTCAGTCATTCAGTCACTTGCTGGTCTTTTCAGTAAACATATTTCAAAATTATAGATATTTCTTTAAGTTCTGGTGGTTAAACATAATGGAATTTATCATACTGCTTTGCTCAGGCTGGCATACTCTGTCAGTGTAAGCAGCTTTCCAGCAACACAAGAGGTTCAAAGAGACGGTGTGGAAGTGACACTGGCTACTTAAGCGACCAACCTTGCCTCCCCCCACCCCCCAGCATGCAAGGGCACCAGGTGAGGCTGACTGGTCCTCCCTTCTGCTGACCCCAGCAAACCTCATCTTTTCTTCCCTCACCTCAGTTGAGGGAGGGGATGCTGGGACAGACTTGTGATGATAGAATGCTTCAGTTGTAGCTGAATGGAATAGTAGGTTATAACCTTCAAAGAGTTGAACTCCTTAATTATGGAGCAAACATTAATAGGATCCAAGAGTGTAGAGGCCCTTGGGTAAGGTCTCCTTAGTTAGGCAAGACATGAAAACAGAGATTTTCCCCCCCTCATACTACCTCTGACTTTCTTGAGTATTCTATGCAAAGTGGAAATGGCAGCTCCATTTGGACAGTGTGCCCCACCTGGGGTCAAGGCAAAAAGACAAAACTTGCCATCTTCTGGTGGCAGCAAGATGACATTTTTATATGGTTGTCACTTCCTTGTAGGAAAACTGCATACATACCTTAACATGTGCCAAATATCTATCTTGTTTTCCAGTTTATATATGCAACAAATTACAGGCTTCTGCTATACCTACACATGCACACAGTAAATCAGTCCTCCCATTTTTTAAAAAAGACTCTGGGTATTTTTCTGCAAACAAACAGTTTCTTGCAGGTTTGTAGAAATGTATATCTTAATCCTTAGCACCCCCTCGTGCAGACTTTTTTTGATCTGCATGGGGAAATATTTAAGTTAGATATATGCTTTACATAGATTATTTCTTATTTTGAGGTAGCATCTTTTTCTGTTTTATCATTCAGGGTAGCACTTCTTTTGTTTCCCCTCTCTTTGTTCCTTGCTTGGTACATCATGAGTCTAACATGAAAAGTTGAGCTTTGTGCAAGTGATGAAGCAATCAAAAAGTCAAACTCCACCATATTCCCAGGTTTCCCTATTCAGCCCATGTTTTGGTCTTTGTTTTAGTACATATGAACTTGTCCTAACTTAGTATTTATATGATCTGTCTACCTTTAATGTTAAAAACCCTTTTAAATAGCAGGCTTGGTAGATTTGAAAACCATTATTTTTGAAAACCATTACTTTGTTACAAAAACCTTGCAAAAATCCATCTTTAAATTTATTTATTTATTTTATTATTTTTCACTGGCCCAGACAGTGAGGGGACTTGGAGTAACACTGAATGCCTCTCTTTCTATGGAGGCCCAGGTTGCTGCAGTCTGCATTTTTACATCTTAGGCAGATCAGGCTACTGAAGCCATATCTTCCCCCCAAGACTTAGCTACAGTGATCCGTGCAATGGTCACTTCCAGGCTTGACTACAGCAATTTGCTCTATGCAGGCTTACCCTTGAAGTTGATATAGAAATTACAACTGGTGCAAAATGTGGCGGCACGCCTGCTGACGTTGACACCTGTGTGGACTCACGTTCAGCATGTGCTCCACCAGCTGCATTGGTTACCAGTTGAGTATCACAATCACTTCAAGGTGCTGGTAATAACCTTTAAAGCCTTATACTGCCTGGGACCAACATATTTAAGGGATTGCCTTTTCCCGTATATGCCTCGAAGAACCTTACACTCTAACAGTCAACATCTCCTGGTGGTCTCTGGCCCAAAGGATGTCCGTCTTGCCTTGACCAGGGCCAGGGTTTCGTCTGTCCTGGCCCCTACCTGGTGGAACATTCTCCCCATTGAGATCAGGGCCACGCAGGATCTTCTTCAATTCCACAGGCCTGCAAGATGGAGCTGTTCTGCTAGGCCTCTGGCTGAGGCAGCGGGCGCCCACACATGGCCTCCCCAAGATTGCTGTCACCCACTCACCGATAACTGGCTATATCCATCTGCATCAACGGGCCAGAATCTCTCCACTGTGCTGTAACTATTGATTTTAAATGTTTATACTGTGTTTTTAAAATTTTACTGTATTTATTGAAATATGATGTAACCTGCCCTGAGCTTGCTTGTGGGATGGGCAGGATATAAATGTGAAAAATAAATAAATCTAACCTGATTCTGATTATTGTGCAACATTATGCATACCTGCATGCCAATCAAATGGTAACTGCTTTTAACCCAGGTGGATTTCAACAAGTTTTACTTGAAAATACAATTTTAAGAAGATTGTCTGTACTTTTACAGGATCAGCTGCCTGCATCTGTCAGTGAAGTCTACAGTGCTGCAGCAGATTTCTGGAAACCTTGGCTCACTGATGAAGCAGTCAGCACCTTGAGGAAAGGTAAGATGCACAATAAGAGAACATGCATATAAATAGCTGCTATTATACATACAATTAATGCACTATTTTAATTTAGTTCCCAAGTGTAATTTGGTACTACAATCTGTATGGAATTAGGGCAAACAAATCAAATTGCAATCCAAGGTATCCACTGAAGAACTTGAAAGATGTGAAGATATGTTTTCTTTGAACGAACTCTTAATTTACAAAGTAAAATAGATGGCATAAAAATTGAAACTAGTAATTCCAACTTTAAGTAACTTATTCCTGCCTATGAAATATACTTTTTGCAGAAATATGGAGATTTTCTGATGAAGTGTAAATGCTAGATATGAACATCAGTTATACTTTCCTAGTATTTCTTCCAGTAAAATTGTATCAGTAGGCCTTGTTAAAGAATGGTGCTATCCAACATGAAAATGTATATTGAAGAATAACTTCTAAAAAATGTCATTCCGGGAATTTACTCCCTCCAAAAATTTCAGTACCTTTACATGATTTTTTACAGAATTATTTGAAAATTGCAGACAAATATTCAGGAATCTTTTGTTAAATGTATGTTTTCTCTTCTTCAGGAGGCTTTTATACGCAAATAGTTCAGCCCAGTATTTCTGGGCCACTACTTAGGATAATCAGTTTAAATACTGTCTTGTACTATGGTCCCAATAAGGTGACACTGAATATGACTGATCCAGCAAACCAACTAGAATGGCTGGAAGAGGTACTAGAGATGGCACTTCAGAACAAAGAAAAGGTAGGGATAATTTTGATGTTAGCTAGCAGTAACGACATGAGAACATAACTATTTAAATAAAGGAAGTTGTCCGGAAGTGATTTCCTTTGATGAAGGACACATGCTAAATCTAGATCTGATGATCCAGGGGAACTCCTTATATAACAGGGATGCACCTAACCATCTGTATACAAAATTAAATAAAGAAGGAATTCTGTTCACTCTTATGGGCTGCCAAAATTACTAAGAGTCTCAAGTCTAAATCCAAGCTATGACTCTGGTGCTGGGAAACAGCAAGTTGGAGTCACTTTTGTCATAAGAACATAAGAGAAGCCAATTTTGGATGAGGCCAGTGGCCCATCCAGTCCAACACTCTTGTGTCACACAGTGACCAAAAATATCAGGTGCCATCAGGAGGTCCACCAGTGAGGTCAGGACACTAGAAGCCCTCCCACTGTTGCCCCCCCCCCAGCACCAAGAATACAGAGCATCACTTGCCCCAGACTGAGAGTTCCTATCTATACCTTGTGGCCAATAGCCACTGATGGACCTCTGCTCCATATGCTTATCCAATTCCTTCTTGAAGCCGTCCATGCTTGTAGCTGCCACCACCTCATGTGGCAGCTAATTCCATGTGTTAATCACTCTATGGGTGAAGAAGTACTTCCTTTTATTCGTTCTAACCCGACTGCTCAGCAATTTCATTGAGTGCCCACGAGTTCTTGTATTCTGAGAAAGGGAGAAAAGTACTTCTTTCTTTACCTGCTCTATCCCATGCATAATCTTTTAAACCTCGATCATGTCAGTCATCGTTTCTCCAAGCTAAAGAGCCCCAGGCACTTTAACCTTTTTTCATAGGAAAATGTTCCAACCCTTTTATCATTCTAGTTGCCCTTTTCTGCACTTTTCCCAGTGCTATAACATCCTTTCTGAGATGTGGTGACCAGAATTGCCCACAGTATTCCAAATGAGGTTGCACCATCGATTTATACAGGGGCATTATGATACTGGCTGATTTGTTTTCAAGGAAGAAGAATGAATGAAAAGTATGGCAGCCATCTGACTGACTGTGTTGGCTCTGAAGTAATATAAGCAGAGCCTGCTGTGCCTTAAAACATGAGAACTAGACTAGAGACTTAACTGGTCAGCATGCGGTAGAACCAGAAAGTAGTGCAGGATCTTGCAGCAAAACTATCAGACCTTGTAGTGAGAAGCTGGTGCACATTGTAAGCATGCAAGAAAGGAAAGCAGCAGGGAATCATCCTCCTCCTCATCCCCACCCTCACAGCCCAGTTATACTGATATGCCCAAAATGGAACAGGGAAGCAGAGTTTAACCTCTGGCTACTTCAGCAGCAGTCAGTCCTGACAGCCACTGAATAGCACAGCAGATCTCACAGAGTAGGGCTTACTTTGAACAATGACGAGTGTGGAACATGGAAGGAACCATATCCATCTCTTCTCATACTACCTATCATTACACAGTTTCTCAGAATGGGTAATCAAGTCAGAGGATACGTGGCCTCCAAGAATAAATCTGTGGTGAGATTCACCCACTCTTTGACCACCAAAGTTGATTTCGTTCATCAGAGTCGGAATAATCCCTTGTTCAAATTACCACTAGATCTTCACATTGTCAGTTTTATACCTTTGGGGCAGAGCATCCTCAATCCTGGGGACTGATAGCAAACCCACTGCAGATACACTCTTGCAGGCCCAGGCATCATCTCACTTCCCATGCAGGACTAGGCTTATTTTGCAAACACAGGGTTGTTGTTTTTTCCTGACTAGAATACAAATTGGTATCACAAGCATCTAAGTGTGAATTATACTATGCATTTTTGTGATATTTATATTTCTGATTCCATAGGTCTATGTGATAGCACATGTGCCAGTAGGCTATCTGCCCTATGCTCGAAATACTACTGCCATAAGGGAATACTACAATGAGAGGTTGATAGAGATTTTTCGCAGGTACAGCAGTATAATTGCTGGACAGTTTTTTGGACACACTCACAGAGACAGCATCATGATTCTCCTGGATAAAAAGGGTAATAATATTTATAGCAGGCCACTTTCTTGGCTGGTTTCATGGTTTGCAGACTGGAAAATATTTTTTCCTGCTTTTGTCATTCTGATGATTTTTTCACTCTTCTATATATAAGGTCATATTCTCAAAATCATCTAAAAGGGTAAACTGAATGTATCTTTATGTATCTGAACCATCCTTTGTTATATGCTCGGAGTGGTTAATTGGTGGTAAAATAGTAAGTTGTATGCAGTGTTCCCCCTAAGCTGAGTTAGTGTGAGCTAGCTCACAGTATTTTAGCCTCCGGCTCACAGCTTTTTTTCTCTGCTCAGGAAGGATGGCTCCAGAGCAAACTAATTTATGCAGTAGCCAAATCACTTGCTCACAACTTTAATGCCAGTAGCTCACAAAGTAGAATTTCTGCTCACAGGACTCCACAGCTAAGAGGGAACATTGGTTGTATGTGAGATAGAAGTTAACATCTCCCAATTTCATTGTGTATATCTATGTATGTGTTTTCAGTTTTTTAATCTGAATTAGTAAAACGAATGCAAAAAAGAATTAAAATTTCACTTGAAATGCTTTTGTAAGTGGGTAGAAAATGACATTAACATAATGCTAATTAATTGCTTCACCTGTGTGAACTTGATTTGGTAAAAGGTAGCCAATTATATCAACTAGCTGACAATTCATGTTGGTGTAATATGTTCTGTGATTCTTTCAAAGTCATTCTAATAGGAGTTCTGTGATAGATCATATTTTGCTAGTGAGCTGGCTGGTACTTTATTTTGCTGAAGAAACCCAAACAGCTTTATAAGGCTGGCATTTGATCACTTAACTTTCTAAAAATCTCCACTACTCTTTCCTTCCACAATGGCAAATTATACTGGTCTATTCCTATTGTGTAATGTGTCAAAGGAATGTTCTCAACATAGCTAGACTTACTCATTTTTTTCCCCTGTGTGCTTCCTGCATCATTAATGTGTCTCTGTTCTGGGCTCCCTGCGGCTTCAAAGTTAATTAAGACAGGGGCAGAGAGTGAGGGTGGAGGGGAAGAGAGAGTCCTTCCCAGCAACATGTTCCCTATTGTTGAGGATAAGACAAAACCCACCTTTCAACATTACAGATTATACTCCAGAGCCATCTGTTTTAAAGGAAGAAACTTTAGAACACAAAGCATTGAAATCTAAATCTGTTACCTAAATATTTTTCTCCATGCAGAATAAACAAGACTGTTAAGGTGTACAGTACATCCTAAGATACCTAAAAGTACAAATGGGGACTCACAAGAAATTATGGGAGAAAGGCTAGGGGAAACAAAGACAGAGAGAGGCAGCCCTAGTCTTTTCCCTTTTCTCCATTATACTAACCCTAGCTCCGCTCCTCAAGTGTTTCCTTTTAGAAGCATATACAGTATTTTCATATCCTCTCTCTATATATATTTACACACATGTATATACACAGAGAGAGATTTGATATTTTCTTTGAAGAATAGAAAAAAATCAGGCAACTTCTTTTTAAGCAGGTTCTGTAAATATAGCTTTCAAAGTGAGACCTTGCTTGCCTTCCCAGAAGGCTACTTAGATACAAATAAAGACCAAGGTTTGAGGGATTATGTGACTTGCAGAAACTCGCAGTAGAATATTTGTATGTGTATGTCTGTTTAGCAGATCCCTGTGCTGTGTGTTTTGAACCAAGGCAGTCTGAAAGGCGATTTGTTATGCATCATCACAGTGGGGAATAGAAATGGCATTGGAATGCTGTAACTGTTTACTTTTTTTTAAATTCCTTGTCCAGATCTTTGACATCTCAAACTTTTTCTTCAGAGATTTTGCCTCAGTATATTAAATGTCAAGCATTTCACCCATATCATAGATTGCAATTTGGGATTTGCAAGTATTATTCTTCATAGAGACTTTTAATAATATGGTGCCAGGGAAAAGTGCTAATTCCAAGGCATATTTATTCTAATATTTAAACCTAATCATGTATTTGTTCTCTTGAATATATTCTACCCCCACCGACATATTTGCCACCAGATGCTTTTTTTTCAATTTCTTGCTGTCCAGGGAATCCAATAAACTCCTTGTTTGTAGCACCTGCTGTGACACCAGTGAAGTCTCTATGGGAGGTGGATTCCAACAATCCTGGAGTGAGACTATATCAATATGATCCCCTCTCATACAGTGTCCTGGTAAGTAAAAAAAAATTAAGTGTTTAGTAACTAAGTCAAAACAGACATACTGAGAGCTGAGAATTCTTTTGCAAAGTTGAAACTTTCTGCCTACCTCAGTGAGTGGGAAAAGCTAAAAATGCAGAAAATTGAGTGTCCATTGGTCCAAACAATGTTCCTTTCCCATGTTCCTTTAATTTCTTAGCATCTCTAAATAATTAAGATAATCCACAGCATACATAGACTGACCAAAAACTTGTATCTGACAGTATGAAATGGTGGAGGAAAAAATCTTGCATTTTGAGTCCTTAGCTGCCTCCTCATTGTCATGTCATTTTAGAGCTGCTGTATTCCTCCCTCAGATTTTCCACGCATGTACTTTTCTCCCATGACTGCCACTGTTAAAAGTAAATGCATAAATTATTCTAATAAAACAAGTGCACTAAATGTGAATTCTCTTTCCTCTAACCACCCAGCATCCATTTGATTTTTATTTTTATTCTGTCTTAGCTTTCCCCCCTCCCCCTGCCCATCATTTCTGCAGTTCTGTCAAATCCTGCCCTTAGTCTGGTTTCATTTGGGGAGGGAAGAGAAAGTATCTGCCAGGAATGTTGCAAAGGGGAGGATATTCCACAGCAGGGCTACCACCACTGAGAAAGCCCTGTCCTGGGCAAGTCACGTAAACCTCAAAGATTACTTACTTGGCTGTCACGTATCACTCCAGCAGAAACTCTTCCTCTCTTGATGACTCATTGCATGAAAGTTCTCCTCACCACCATCTGACACCTCTGGTGTACACTTCCCAAGAATTTTTGCAGCCTGCCTGCCTCTTCTATACTCTGCCCCAGACTTTGCACACAACTTCAGAAATGCTGAGTGCAAAACTCACGTGTTCTGGGGGAACAGTTCATTGACTTGTACCTTTTTCAAGGGAACTTTTTGCATAAGTCCTCCCTCCACATGTGTTCTAATGGGTCCAAGACAAAACCGTTCCCATAGATTTCCTAAAATAACTACTGGCAAGAAGGGAGACAAACCTTAGAACACTTGGCCCATTTCACAAGTGAGGTGTGAAGGCCAAAGAACCCCATGTAAGTTTTAAATTGGATAGGAAGTATATTGTGAGTTTCTTCTCCATCCCCCTTATACATCTATTTTTTCTGTGTGTGCTTAGAATAAAATTTTTAAAAGTGCATCTTAGCCTTGAGAGATTTCCTTAGCCTTCTTCCTCTGACAAGCCAGCTGCTCTATTCTTGCTACTCCATGACAAGCTGAGGAGGCAGAAGCAGTTGCCTTGCTGGAGACAAGGAGGGACTTGTCCAATTCTCTGTCTTAAGGCACAGCAAGGACTTTTTCTATAACAAACACTCACACTTTGGCCACTGAGATTCAAGGGTTATTGTACAAAGTCAGTTAAAGCTCAAAGAACCAACCCTCAACATGGTGGCAGTTTACCCAAAGCGAAGGATTTAGAAGTCTTGAGAACTGTACCTAAAGCTTCTTTAACAGTACTCACCCCCAACAGATCTTGCACTCTTTTAATGTTGTTTCCAACACTCATGAGGTTTTCTCAGGTATATTTGGGGCTGTTTGTACTCTTTTTTTATTGCCTCCTCTACCAGGCAATTTAAGTTGTGCACCAATAAAACCTGCATTTAATCTCATGTATAATTTATGTACATTTGTATATTTATTATTTTGCAAAATTTGATTCTGCTTTTGCTAGCTATGAGGAGGGTCAAGGAGTGCTGAAATCCCACAGCTGTTTGTTTGAAATTATTCACTGCATTGCTGACTGCTTAGAATTCAGCAGGCACTGTCAACAGTCATTCAAGCATATATCTGCACCTATAATAGCTAGAAATTTGTTTTTCTGTTTTCAGAGTTTTTGGAATTTTAGGCCTAGTTTCACATCTGTACCACAGTCACAGCACCTGGTTATATTGGTGCACATTGTGTTTGGGGTACATTTTTTTTAAAAAAAACAACACCCTAACCTGAGGCCTTTTTTTAACAGTGTAGTCTGACTCCAATTCTATCTGTCTTCCCATCCTTTCCCTTCCCCCAGTACTGGTGTACAGCAAGCACAGAGCTGGTTTAGAAGTTTATGTCTTGTGGTGGGACATGACCCTTCTCTTCATTTGTGAATAATAGGCAGTGACGGCTTCTTAATCAATACATCATCTCTAGAAATTTAATGAAGCAGAGGACAGAATGGTGCATGCTTTGTTTCTTCTTATTTCTAGGATCTTTGGCAGTTTTACTTGAACCTCACAGAAGCCAACATGAAAAATGCATCGGATTGGAAACTTGAATATGTTATGACCAAAGCTTATGGGATAGAGGACTTAAAGCCAGAAAGTCTACATGGAATGGTAAAACAGCTCATTGCACCACACAGCAAATTGTTTCCAAAATATTACAACAACTACTTTGTAAGTTATGATGGAAACAAGTTCTGTGAAGAGCACTGTAGGATCAGTCAACTCTGTGCTATTCAGTATTTAGATCTCCCATCCTATACAGATTGTATTGGAAATGAAGATACATTACATTATGAGTAAAAGTTAATGTCCATTCTAAGGAACCATGTCCTCTAAAATCTAAAGAACAGTTTATTCATTCCTTATGCCACAGCAGAATTAGAGGCCTGAACCAAATGAATTTTTTTTGGTCAGTCCTTTGAGTATGTTGTCAGCATTGCTGTAAAATAAAAACAAATACTTTTTGTTTTTTATAAGCATCTCTAAAAATTTCCTTAATTTTCGGCACTGCAGCAATTCAGGCAACTGGAGAAATTGCTCAGTATGTTTAAAGCAAGAGTACTTCTGAAGAGTATTCAAGAAAATGTTCCATTCAAATGCGTAAAGAATGCAAGCTGTGAACCCTTAAAAACCTAGGATCCAGTAACTGCTCACTTTGTCAGTCAGGAATCTTATCTTGTATATTATTCAGTTATACAGAATGTTTTGACATGTACCTGATCACAGTGACAAGCATTATACCATTTTTCATTTGTAAAAATGTTAAGATACACTTGCCATGAAAAACATGGGCCAAAAGTATCTTGAACAGTAAAAATCTATTTGTTTAAAGTGATGGCCTTGTATTTCTCTGTCTGTGTTTTAAGAACTTGTGATTTTGTTTGAGGACACCTGAGAGTATATGAGGATACAAAGTCATGTCCCCCTCAGTGAAGCTGTGGCACATTGCTTTTAGAGTCTCTGGCACTTTTTTAAAAAAATATTTTTTAAAAAAATATTCAGTAAAAAGAAAGTCTACAAAGCATGTAGACTTTTATTAAGTACAGCTTACTCTTCTAACCAGAATAACATTATATTTATCAAACTTATCTAAATTTTTCAAACTAAAAAGGCAGACTGTCACACTGAATTTGACTTATTTTCACAGGCTTATATCAAAAGATTTTTCATATTTTCTTCTGTATGAAGGCTTTATCTTGTCAATTTCCTTCTTTGTGTTGCTGATATTAGAAACAAAGTTTTGTAGTGTGTATGTACTGCTTATATGACACATTTACATGGACTTCATCCTGGACTGAATTATATGGCCTCATTCTGAGTTCAGTAGAACACTCCCGTGTAAACATAGGATCACAAGCATAATACAAAAGTACAATGTCATCTACTATCTCAGGGTTTTGTGAGAATTACCTCATGGGGTTTAAAATAAACTTGATCATTTCAGACATACTTGCCTTCGTATGGGGATTTTATTTCTAGAATACTGTGTTCCTCATAGTCAAAACCTCAGATGTTCTATAGTAGGGGTTGTTCAGACAAAGAATCCTTTGTATACCCACAAGTCTGCCAAGGATCTCCACTGAACAGTGTTATGTATTGACTTGAATGTAAATACTGACATGCGAATCGCCTGATTGAGACCTAATGTTAAGCTTCAGCCTGGGCTAGGATCCTAATGTAACCAATAGGAGTCCTAGCCCAGGAAGTGTCTACCAATCACTATGCAAAGCGGGACCGCTTGTGATTGGGTATTATATCTTCAACCTCATAGGTTGCCATCTGTACAGGGGGTGTGGCTACATTAGCCGGGAGTGTTTAAATATCGACAAGCCAGTGTATTTATTTCGATGGGTTCTGGCTGGCGATTGTTGTACCGTAACGGAGAAGTAACTGAGCTGAAGAATAAACCGCATTCTTGCTGAAATCACTCTCCGACTCTTGTTAAGCGCACGACTTAACAATTGGCGACGAGGTAAGCCAGTGTATTTATTTCGATGGGTTCTGGCTGGCGATTGTTGTACCGTAACGGAGAAGTAACTGAGCTGAAGAATAAACCGCATTCTTGCTGAAATCACTCTCCGACTCTTTGTTAAGCGCACGACTTAACAATTGGCGACGAGGGTGGGATACTAGTGCGGGTAGGCAGCCCCGCTAGAACGAACCCCATGTCGGACAACGAGGAGATCGCCGAGGCCGGCCAGCCGCAGGCTCCACCCGCTCTGGTGGCTCCGCCTTGTCGCGAGCAGCCAGAAGTTCGAATGCTTCGACCCGACCACTGAAGACTGGGACTCTTACCTTACGAGGTTTGAGTTCCATCTGGAGGCGAATGACATCACGACGGAGGAGAAGAAGAGGGCGACTCTACTCAGCTCGTGTGGAAAGAGCGTTTTTGACATCGCCCGGTCACTGGTGGCACCAGATGACATTAAAACCGTATCCTTTAAAAATTTGA